GACATTGAGTCCATCCCGTCCAAATTTAGGAGTTGTTTCCGACCATTTGTATAGGATACATGGGCAAGCGTTTGAATCATCTCTCAACCCTTTATATGGGCTTTTAACCAGGTATTGAGAGTGCACTAAATATAATTGGATTCAAGTTTCAGGTACCTAAGGTCGATACCCAAACCCTACCCTGTAGGGCTTTGATAAACAAATCCTATTAGGGTTAGGTACCCAAAAATTCTCATAAAATTGCTATCCTTATTTGAATTTGATTTTATCCATTGATGTTCTTTCTATTAGTAGCTCTAGTAGTACCACTTATGAGTGAACAATGAGTGGGTTCTACTTGGAATTGAATGGAAGCAATTTCCACCCAGGTCAGTTTCAAGGTCTCGGGGTTTACTTGACTCAAATCAGCCCAAAGAACTGACCTTGGGTTGGCCTTAATTTACCTTGGTGCAACCAACCTTGGAACCAAACTTGACTTGAAATGAATACTAAAAAGCCTTTAAGTATGTGAAGATTTGAATGCAAGCATTCATGGTTACAAAGACCATGGTCTCACTCAACCATTGAGCCATTTAAGTGATCAAACCATATTTCTTCAATTTAATATTTGAATGTATATAAAAAGTAATCTATAAGGTAATACTTACAAAATTTAATTTATAATAATAAGCTTCACCAAGTCTAGAACTAATATTTGACGGTGTAGGTTTTTGTTCCAAAAACACGAAACCAACTCCTAAAGGGTAGTGTTATGGTGTTGTGCCTTTAATTCTTTGTTTCGATTGGCATTATGAACCCGCTCCGAATTAGGTTGAAAAAAACCCAAAGGCAAAATTTCGTAGTGGTTTTTGATAGAAGCATAGGCGGTATAGACCCGGTCCATATTTAGCTTATGAGTCCAAACCAAACACAAAGAGTTATGTATTTCGAGGTTTTCTCTCTTGTATACTTAGTCTTTGTCTTGTGAGAGAAGAGTGAGACTTTGGGTATATTTGGGGTTTAGGGTTTTCTGTGAATGAGGTCGTGAGTGCACAACTCTTTATTCCTCTTTATTACAAATTACATAGTGGATTTCTGCTTCTCTTTCACCTGTGAGCATAGGTTATAAGTCAAACCACATAAAATTGTGTCATCTTTGCTTGCTTCTCTTTATCTCTGTTTTTCTTTCATTTTTGGGTACCTTTTGAAATTGTATTTATGGGTTTTGCACAATAGGTTGGTTCTAGGTTCTGCCTTGAAACTAACCCATGCTCATCCCTATTACCACCCTAAAGTTGTAAATGCCGCTTTGTGTAGTTAAGTGCCCTACAACCAAGGTTCAAATTATCGATATGTCCGATATGCTAATAGAGGCATATCAGGAAGTATCGATAGCTTTTTTTTTTTTATTCTTTTTAGTTTTTCCGAATCTAGGTAGGGGATTATTTAAACTTGATGACCCAACGATCATATTATGTATTCATCTATGTAGAGTCCTCTATTACACTTAGAGCAGTGAAGCCCTGAATTGTAATTTGACAATAAACATACTTATTTGTTAAATTGACACATTTAAACATCATAACGATAACGTTACAAGTTATATCCTGAAAAAACTAGGTGACTTTTTTTTATGGTGAAACAGAAAGACGGGCACTAGACTTTGGATATCTTTTGTAATGATGCAGGACACATAATTCAGATAATCAATTAAATAAAACAAATGCAAATTATAGGGGTGTTTTAATATGTAAAATAGATGATAGGTTTTAATAAATATTTGAAACTATAAGGAGTGTCAAAATAAATGATTTCTCTCTCTCTTTTATTTTTATTTTTTTTTATTTTGTACTTTCTTCTTATAATGATATTCAATAAGAAACCGACCATTTTCCTGAATTTCCTTTGCTTAACGTGCGGAACAATTTATTGGAAGATGTTTCAATATTTTCCTAGAATTATTGTTAAATTTTTGCAAATTGCTTATGTTAGTTTCCCTTTTCCATGACATTTTACATGCAACCGAGCAATTTAAGGCTATGTTTGGTTTGTAGGAAAATCTATATAAGATTTGTAAAGATTTTTCTACCTTTTCTTTTCTTTTCCTATTTTTTCCTTCAAACCAAACATAGCCTAAAGAGCGCAAATTTTCATAGAAATTGTTCATTTCCCTTCATTTTCTTTTTGTGCAATTAAAAAGAGTCCATATCATACTCGTCCAGCGATTTGTGGAAGAATTAGACCTGGCCCAGGGATATTTGAAAAACCAACTTGGTTGGGAGCCCAAAAGCGACCAAAGTCTTCTAGTCAACCCATGTGAGTAGCTTTTAATTGAGAAAATGAAACCCTGAATGGTCAATATCACTTGGGAATAAGACTGATGTGGTATAAAAGAGTGAACAAAAGGGTAATCCATACGGTCCCTTATCTAAATGAGAGCCGAGAGCCAAGATTAACCTCATCATCCTTCATTAGTCATTTCCTCTAGGTAAGAGAAGAAGCCTCTTTGAGCATAATTTGCTAGTTGAAATGTTCAGAATAAAAGGAGAGCCAATCTGTAGAAAACTATGAAGGAGATAGAGTGAATAGAAGGGGAAAAATCCAATCAATCCAAAGAACTTGCAGAAAAATAAAATAGTGATTATGAGCCTCTAACAATATCATTAATGCTTAATAATAAATATTAAATTGATAACAATATTTATGTAATAACAACCTTACAACCATATTCTTTTTTTTTTTTGTGTTTTTAATAGCAACTATATTCATGCATCAAGCACTTATGCTTAGGAGTGAGCAAATGAGTTGGTTCTACCTGAAACCGATTAGAACCATTCTCAAACTGGTTTTATATTCTCGAAATCAACCTCCACCTAGGCCGGTTTTAAATTCTAAGTTCTATCTTGAAACTGAACCAAATCCATGCTTATCCCTACTGTACCTACATATAAGGAAAGCCCTTATTAATTTTTCCCCTTCATAACATGAAATGGATTCATTTTTAGTAGCAATGTGGTATGCATTCTGAAATGCTAAATAAAGAATGAATTGATTCCACTTCACATGGCACCTACAATTCCTATTCTGTATCAGTTTTATGTTTTTAACACTTAGCCACTAACAAAGAAAATAAAATGACAAAAACAGAAAATGGCCCACAATAGAATAGAAAGACCAGGCGCGATTCCTCTAAGCTGTAACAGGTCATGTATTGTGGGTCCAGTTCATCGTCATGGTGTAGTCTGGAATGTAAGGTGTGGTCCAGTGGATTAGAACAATACAAACAATACATTGGGCCCATAAGACAAGTCCGCATCTGCTGGTCTCTTGAACCAGCATCTTGCTAGTCCAAACCAATAAAAAACCTTTACGCAGCCTTAAATCCTTTTAATTGAAAACCTTATGGGAGTCCAGACTAACGGCAGTGTTAGACTCCAAATGATATTTTAATTTTAATTTTATTTTTAAATAGATATTTCAATTTTGGGTTCGAGTATGATATAGAAAAGATATGATATCCGAAAAATAACTGACCAATAAACTAGAATCATAAATGGTAGCAAATCAAGTGTTATTTATCAAAATTCATGAGTGGATTTTGATTGATTAAAATTCTTTCCATATTATATCTTTTCTGTATCATACATTTTCCCTTCAATTTTATTAAAACCTGTCATTCTATTGTTGAGTTCCAAAATCAACGACACGTCTCTTTCTTCCTCAAACCGATTAGCTTTTGAAGAAGTTGGACGGAGGCAGACTGTGAACCCTTTTTATTCAATAAACCCTTTTACCCTCCTCCCTGAACTGTGAATCGTGAACTACGGCATTGGACGGTGGCAACCAGCCGATCATTTGAACAGAACAGTTCGAACGGTGACAATAACTCCGACGATAATAACTCGGATGACAACCCCTGTGAACTTTTTATAATCTCTGTTAGTGGTTAAGTATGAGTTTTATATTGGTCTGTTAGTCAAAGCTAATCTAAATCCATGTGATTGATATAGAAAAATAAGAAAAAGAAGAAAGAGGAGGAGGAGACTGGAGGAAGATATACCTGATTATGCCAAGAAAAATAATGGCGACTAGCGAAAGCTTTTCTGATTTTCGTTAAAGATGACCTTACTGTCAAAGTTTACAATAAGGTTTAAAGTATCGATATAATACGAGTTTTGGCCATATCTTATGAATACTTAAAAACAGCCGAAACACTTATTTTTTTAATTTTTTCTCAAACTTTGATTTTTTGAAAATATTATAAACTGTTTTTTATTATATAAAAAAAGTGGGGGTTCAAAATACCGCATTTGGGACCATACCGTTTGTAAAAGATTGGATACGGTATTCCCAATATACCTGAGACGTATCATATTGATATTTTAAACCATGATTCACAATTCAAGGAGGGTAAAAGAGTTTCGAAGGCCGGAGTTCACAGTTCATTTGAAGTCCAACACAACCATTTGACTCCCGTTAATTTTTCAATTAAAAGGGTTGGGCTTCGTGGAGGTTTTTTATTGGTTTGGACTAGCAAAATGGTTCTGGTCCGGGGGACTAGCAGATACGGACTCCCAACTCGCACCCTTTGGCGCTTTAGCACTGGGATAAGGCTTAGTTGTATTGAATGGTTCTGACAAAGCACCTTATTCTTAATCGTCCCATTTTTCCTCCACTCCACTTAATTTCACATCCTGCTTGACTTGACCATCCTCCATCCAATCTTCCCTCTTCTCGAATCCAATTGGATAACAGCCCTTCAATCCAGGTATCATGTCCTGATCCAACAACGCACACTAACACAGCTCCCGTAATAGATGCAATTGTGGGTCCCACCAACAACTTCTGATGATCTGATTTCTTCGTGTATTTAAATTAACTGCCTCAGATCCCAACACGTGTCTCCGAGTTAAAGCAACAGCGTCGATGATTTCTTCCACGTGTCTCATCGAGATTCATCTCTCTGACAGCCCAATCTCTGTACTGTAACTACCTCTACCATAGAACAGTATTAAGTAGCGCTCTTGAACTAGCCTCCCTCTGACACCAATGGCGAGGTCTCTCCTGGCCTCCAACTACCACTTAACTGCCAATTCCCTGCTCTTCAAGCCTCTCTTCTTCCCTCTCTCTTCTCCCCAAAACCCCAAGACTCCGAGAGTTTTCTTCTTTAATACATCCCTTCATCACCGATTCAAACCGTGTCTCGCCTTAGATTCGGACGTCCCTTACTCCAGAAGCCAGGTAACTGCGAGTAATGACAGTTAAAGTGACCGTTAATGGCAGTTATTTGTTCTCTTCTTCTCTTGCTTTAAATAACTCGAACTGAAGTTTCTGGTTTTGCTTTCTCAGGAGCCTGGCAAGCGTCTTGGGAGAAGTAAGAGCTTCGAGGATTGGGATTGGTGGACGGCAAAGTTCGCCGGAGCGTCAAATGTGCCGTTTCTGTTGCTACAGCTGCCTCAGATCACTCTCAATGCTCAGAATCTCTTGGCGGGAAATAAGTCTGCGCTTTTAGCTGTTCCATGGCTGGTAAGTGATTTGGTATTTGTGAAATTGAGGTTTTGATGATGAGAGTGTAACGAAGAAAGCGTTTTGGAATGCAGGGAATGTTCACTTGTTTGCTTGGGAATTTATCTCTGCTTTCGTATTTTGCGAAGAAGAGGGAGACAGAGGCGATTGTGGTTCAGACATTGGGAGTTGTCTCAGCCTATGTGGTGTTCGTTCAGCTCGCCATGGCGGAAGCGATGCCTCTGTCATATTTTACGGTGACTTCGGTTGTCGTGGGTGCTGGTCTCGTTCTTAATTTTATGAATTATTTTAACTTCCTTAATGGTGGAATCTGGCAGTTCTGGGAAGATTTTATTACTGTTGGTGGGCTTTCTGCACTTCCCCAGGTGAGTTCCAAATGCTTCTTCAGTTTGTTGATAATCTTTTCGTTATTGTCAATTGAAGTTCTTTGGATTTTGATGGAGTTGTGTTTCATAAAATGAGGATGCAGGTTATCTGGTCGACATTTGTTCCCTTCATTCCGAATAGTATTTTGCCTGGGGCGGTTGCTTTTGTTATGGCTGTTTTGGCTGTAGTTATGGTAAGCTTCATATTCACCCCTTCTTTATTGTTCTGCTTTTAGTTATGTTTGGTTTGATCAATTGTAACTGTACAAATTTTATCTTCCATGCTTAATGGGCATTAAGGGAAAAAACATCACCAATCCCGGATCATATGGCGGTGTTTGGTACAGTGGCGGTTTCTACTTGAAACGCTGCCACATCAGTGCCAAATTGGCATTTTGGGTTTAAGCATCAATTTTCTGTTTGATTGAGACTGTCTTGAGTTAAAACAGTCATAAAATGTTTCTACTAGAAACATACACCAAGGGGTGTTGGAGGAAACATCAAATGACCTGGCTTCAGTTGGCAACTAGGCATCAGCTGCCCATTTGAAGAAACAGTACAATGACCTGGCTTTAGTTGGCATCCTACATGGAAGTGTAGAGATATACTCTGGTGCATCGCATACTAGAAAAGATGCATATACACTATCGAATTCGAATACCCATAACCCTACCTCTAAAACAATGTTTATTTTTTGTTCTATGCTTCTAGAACCATTAGATCTGCATCTAGATATTAATCCATGTGTAATGATGATCCAATTATCAGAAAGCAATTTGTTTTTAACGGCAAATAACAGATTACTATCCTATACTTTGGGGGTAGTGATACTTAGCCCCCTGAACTTTCATTTACAACAAAGATCCCCCTGAACTTTCAAGTCCAATACTTTGCTCCTTCCATTAGTATTCCGTCAGTTAACTTCAAAAAAGATTCTCATTTGAATGTCATGTGCTTGTAAACATTTCTAAATCCTCAAACTACTCTTTCCTTAATTTATATGACCATTTTTTTCCTTTCTCTTACATACTTGTGTAAACCCTTTACTTATGTTTCTTTCTTCTCTTTCTCATCCAAAGTGAATAAAGAAGAGATATCGTGCTTTGCCCTGCCCATTTTTGTCATATTGAATGAAATGTAATCCTTTCACCAATATTAATATAAAAAAAAAGCATTTTAGTCTGATATATTCCATCAAAACAGTTAACAGAGAGCGGGCAAAGTGCTGAAGTCTGAAAGTTCGAGGGAATTTTGTATCAAATGAAAGTTTGGGGGGCTAAGTGTCACTACCCCTGAAGTACAGGATGGCAATCTGTAATTTACCCTTTTTTAAATTTGAGCATTGGATGAGAGTCGGTATAGCAGGGTGGTGTCACATTGAATATAAACATTTCATTTAATGCCTAGTCTGCACAAGTACCAACCAAACAAGTTTCCATTGCCTCTCTAAATGTTTGAGGTTAAATGACAATGGTATCAAACACAACCAACGCCTATACTTTCTTGGTTCTAATTTTATCTGGACAAGGTGAAATAAATTATGGTAATATTGTTCTAGTAAATATGCGTATGTATGCATTTCTGGATATTAGTTCCAGAATGAAATGTCACATGATACTTAGTAACATACTTTGAGAACGAAATATTTAATTCTCCTTAGTTGCACATATTTTTGAGCAAGAAGCTCATGCCTGTACTCATATTGGTGGTTCTAAGGAATGTTGTTGACTTATTGGTGATCTGTAGCTGTGGATATATGACATATTATTGTTACCTTTGGTTTTTTATTGTGAATTAGTAATTATTTCTCCACTCTTTGGAAGATGGAGGCGGTGGAAGTTTCTTTATAGAAACTGATGAAGTAGAAGAAAATTTACAGTTTTGTAACTCTTGACATGATTGCTGGAATGAGTAGCATAAACAAAGCATCTTAGTTACTATTGAAGATTGTCTTTTAAACAGATATAAAATAGGCAATAGTTTTGAATCCTTTATTTCCACATATGGTGTATGCCGAAGAAACATTATGATTTATCTGTCTTGTCTTTATGCCTGAAAGCTCCATCTTCTGGCCTATAGCTTGGATAAGGTTTCTTCTCTTTATTGAAGATATTTTCCTCACAAAATTCATTAGCTCCCAGGATTCCCCGCAATTGTTACCTGAATAACGTCATGACATTGTTTTCAAGCTTTTTCCTTGGATCATTGACTTCTGGAGAAGGAATTGTCAGACCTCTTTATATCTTTCTTTTTGCATTTGTGATCCCCTAATTGAGTTACTTGAAGTGCTACACTTATTTTCTGCACTATGTTTGTTCTGTGCATCAAGCCTAGTCTTTTTCAGGATTGTGAAATTCCAGTTGTCAGAAGCTCCAAGGAACTGGAGACTTTAATAGGGGTGTTTCCTTTGGAACATTATTTTTTTAACTGTGTTCTGTCTGGTCTGAATGCTTGACAGAGGACTAAGGCTTTAGACTATTTTTAATTGGTAATTGGCCTAGAAAATATATACCTAGGGCTTGGTTAAACCTGATCACCTCAGATGATTTGACTTGCAAACTATGGTAGTTTTTTTCCCATCAATAATGCCAATTCTGAGTATGTTCATTGGATGTTGGATACCAAGGGATCTGAGAGTTTGAATTTCAAATTTTCTTTTTCTTTTCTTTTGTGGAAGTTTTATCTGGAAAAGACTCTGCAATGTCATTGAATAGCTTTATTGAATCATCTTAGGGCTCAAGTTCTTTACCTTTTGGAGAGCCCATGAGTTTGAACCTGAGAGATTTTGCAAGAGCAAGACTCGTTATCTTTTGAAACCCAGCTTGGGGGTAGCTGTAGGAACACTAGGAGATGGAGCTCAAAAGGAAGGATATTTCTTGGTAAGTGGTGTCCATTTCAAGATTTGAGACATAGGTTTGGGGTTTTGCTTAAATCTGTTGTTTTACCACTTCATTTTTTAGGGTAAGCTTGGTCTCAGGAAGGCCTCATACCTGGACTAAGATAATGTATATGATTTTTTTTTTTCTTTTCACTTGAAATGTTGTTCTCCAACCCACTTTTCTTTTTTTCTTTCCCCAAAGTCCTCACTGTGGTTAAAATAGTTTTCTATTGTTTTTTCCTTGATTTGTGTTGTTCTTATAAACTACATGATAGTAGCTGAGGTTATTGGGCTTTAACTTAGGTCAATATACTGGAATAATTTGATTCACACAACCTTGTTGGCAGAATGAGCTAATAACTATTTGTGTGTTAAAAAATTTATTTTTACCTAAAAATTTTTCCTAAATTAGTACATAATATGTTTATAAATGTGAAAGCAAACTTATTGAATATCTATCTATAATGATTATTCTTTGCAACATGTTACATCTGGACCACAAATTACATTTACAATTATTTTCAGAAGATGAGAGGCACTGTATTTAAAAGGGAACAATAATGTGGAAAAGGATTCTCCATTGCACTGAAGCCATACATGTCATTGATACATGCCAAAATTTAGAGCTCACCATCTGATTTATCTGCATGCAACCCCATCTCCTAACTGGATCTTGCATGGTGAGAGAAGTATCGCAGAAGGATGTATCTTATCATCCTCTGATCTGATCATTTCTTACCTATGAAACATATTTGGTGGGACCCTTCAAATAGTAAATCCAAATTTCCTTCCTATTTTTCATGGTCATAGGCTTTTTGGCAAAGGTAGAGGAGGAAATCTACAAGTACCAGTGCACTATTTAGATATTTCAATTAGCAGGAATTAATTTCTGAAATTGTGTCAACTTTAATCCTTGGCTATCATTTTTATTTGGTTTGTAAAAATTTTATGCAGTCTTCCTTCTAACCTTAGAGTTCCTAAGACTTTCAGGCACGGATTGGAAAGCTTCCAGAGAAGGGCATAAAATTTGTTGGATCCATATCTGGATGGACGGCAACACTACTCTTCATGTGGATGCCAATTACGCAAATGGTATTTAATGATTATTCCTGTTTCAATATATCAATCAATTGCATTATTTTGGAATCTGAAAATAACCAGGAATCTTATTTGCAGTGGACAAATTTACTTAATCCGGATAACATCAAAGGTTTATCAGCTGTCTCAATGTTGCTTGCTATGATTGGAAATGGTCTTATGATTCCACGTGCGCTCTTTATTCGTGATTTCATGTGGTAATTCTTCTTCTTCTCAAAACTACTGTTCTGTTGTCTAATTTCACTAAATATTAGTTCTATGTTACTATTCTTGAAGTGGTCTTGAATAATTTATGCTTCTTTTGTCAATATTGACATGGAAATTTGAGCTTAACAATAAAGTAATAAAGAAAAAGAATAGTATTTACTACTTTTGTCATTTTGTTAGGGTTATGGATTTTTCATTATTGGCTTTGTAACTTATCTGCCTCATTGGTTGTCCTTAGAGACGCAGCTTGGATCAAGCTGATCAACTGAACCCTATTTTCTGCTAGGTTGAGTTATGTCAGTTATGAAATTTTACTATTGGATATAGTATTTAGTTGTGCTAGGGTTGAGATGTCAGGTATCCTGTCCCAACAGGAAACAGGTTTTTGTATGACCTGTTCATGTTAAACACAAAAGTAAGAGATAATTGGCTTGATGCTGAGAAACTTGTTTTGGGCAGAGAGCCAGAGAGAACTGCAGGTTTAACCTCACTAAACTCACTCTGTTCTAAATGTTCTAATTCTTACTTGGCTAACCAACACAGTCCATCTAGGCTTCATTGGTTGGACCAAACAACCTGGTTCCTCTTTGTGCTTACTTGGGTGGATTGAGTATTCAGATTTTTGGTTTGCTCTTATTTATCCAAACTGGACCAAGTTGTACACCTTGAACATTAATCTGATTTTGTCAGTATTGGTATTATCTAAACCTAAACTGTCCTGTCACAATTTTGAACTAAGAGCTCTTGGGAATAGATTTTTCCTATATAATGATTATTAGAAAATTGTGGTTGGATCCCTACTGAACCAAAACAGAGTAGGGCATAGAGAGAAGAAAGAAAGGAGCACAGAAGAGAAAAAAGTACAAGTATATCTCATTAAATTGGCTAGATCTATACTTATAAATATCTCATTAAATGAATCAAAAGTACAAGTATATCCCTGTTAATGAAATTAAAATAGTTCATAATCTACCCCATACAAGTAATAAGCAAAGACACATAATCCCCTGATGTAAATAAGAATAAATCAACGTAAACAACAGCAGAACATAATAATAAACCTCTCAAGACCTACCAAAGTTTTGCTTGTTAACTAGTCTGGATTGGAAAAGCCTTGTGTTTAAAAATGTTGCTCCATTTTGTCAGGAACATGAACAAGAGTTATGCTTTAAGTTGTATTCTGTATTTTTCATGGTCAGATAATTGGTGATGCTATTACTATCATGCTATGTATAGGTATTGTCAGACCAATACTACTGTTATCCAGAAGAGAAGAAGGAAGAAAGGAAGAGAGAAGAGAGAAGAGAGAAGAAATAAAGAGATTTGGAGTCACCAAAGAGATGTTGGCGGCACCAGCTTTTTATTATTTATACTAGGGCAACACAACTTAAAATAAAAGGTGCTGAAAGTACCAAAGTACCCCTGCGGTACTAAACTTACAGAATAATAACCTTTCAACACTCCCCCTCAAGTTGGGACATAGATATCAATCATGCCCAACTTGCCACATAAATCATAATGTCGCAAGTGATGTAACCCTTTTGTGAAGATGTCTGCAAGTTGGTCTTCAGAACTGGCATAGGGAGTACACACTTCCCTTGTGACAACCTTTTCTCTGATGAAATGCTTGTCAACTTCGATATGCGTAGTTCTATCATGCAGTACAGGATTAGCAACGATGTTTATGGCTGCTTTGTTATCACAGTAAAGAGTCATAGGTCCATCAACTTGAAAGCCCAACTCACTCAACAAATTTTTTAGCCACATAATTTTAGCCACTCCATGAGACATTGCCCGATATTCAGCTTTAGCACTAGACCTAGCTACCATATTCTGCTTTTTGCTTCTCCAGGTGACTAGGTTTCCTCCTATAAAGGTACAATAGCCACTGGTTGACTTTTTTTCATTCAAGGATCCTACCCAATCTATATCGGTATACACATCAACTTTCAAATGCCCGTGCTTTTGAAACAACAAGCCTGCACCTGGGAACTTCTTAAGATATCTAAGAACTCTTTTTCTTGCTTCAAGGTGGGTAGTCTTAGGGGCATGCATGAACTGGCTAAGAACACCCACTGCATAAGCAATGTCTGGTCGAGTCATAGAAAGATATAGCAGTCTTCCTACAAGTCTCTGAAATTGTTTCACATCCTCAATGGGTTCACCTTGACAGTCTCCTAATTCGTGGTTAGGATCAATAGGGGAATCAACAGGCTTCACTCCCAATTTTCTTGTATCCTGGAGTAGATCTAGGACATACTTTCTTTGGGAAATGAAGATACCCTTTTGTGAGCGGGCCACTTCAATCCCAAGGAAGTACCTTAGAGGACCTAGATCCTTTACTTCAAACTGGGTAGCAAGGAAACTCTTCAACTTTTGAATTTCATCATTTCAATCACCAGTGATAACTATATCATCAACATATACTATCAGTGCTGCAATTTTTCCTTCCCTTCTTTTCACAAACAGTGTGTGATCAGATTGACACTGCTTGTGCCCTCTTTGCTGAACTGCTACATGGAACCTACTGAACCAGGCTCTCGGTAATTGTTTCAGGCCATATAATGATTTTTTTAACCTGCACACTTTCTGTTCATTACCTTGAACCCGGAAACGAGGGGATTGCACCATGTATACTTCCTCTTCAAGGTCACCATTTAAGAATGCATTCTTGATGTCAAGTTGATGAAGGTCCCAGTCAAGATTAGCAGCTAAGGAGAAAATAACTCTAATGGAGTTCATTTTAGCAACGGGTGCAAAAATTTCTGCATAATCCACTCCATACACTTGTGTAAACCCCTTTGCCATTAAACGAGCTTTATACTGCTCCACTGTGCCATCAACCCTAGTTTTACTGTGAAAACCCATTTACACCCAACTGGTTCCTTCTCCTTAGGAAGATCTACAAGTTCCCATGCACCATTTTTATGTAAAGCATTAATCTCTTCTTTCATAGCATTTGTCCATTCAAGTATCAAAAGAGCTTCTGCTACATTCTTAGGAATATGAACATTGTCAATGGAAGAGAGAAAGGCCCGAAAGGAAGGTGAAATGTTCTCATAGGAAACAAAATGGGGCATGAGGTGTTTAGTGGTACAAGACCTAACACCTTTCCGGTGAGCAATAGGAAGGTTAAGGTCATCAGCAATAGAGGTATCAATGGCAATAGGGTCAGGAACATCAATGGGAACCAAGTACCTGGTTGGGAAGGATCCACCCCCAGAGAGTTTGATGGCATTGGTGGTACAACTTCTGGATGCTCCACAATTCTTGAACTTGGCTGGCCTTTGTGATGTTGAAAGAAAACACGAAAGGGAGGAGGATCAGGAAGAGGAGTTAGCTGAACTAATTTCTCCTCATTTCTACACTTCCTCTGAGGAGAAATAGGGAAGCAAGGCTCACTCTCAAAGAAAGAGACATCCATAGAAACATAATATCTCCGAGAGACAGGATCAAAGCATTGGTGCCCCTTTTTAGTGAGGGAGTACCCCAAGAAAGTGCAAGGAATAGCACGAGGATCCAATTTCCCATGGGTGGGTGCCAGATTTTGAACAAAGCAACGACAACCAAACACACGAGGAGGAATAGAAAGAAAATGATCCTTAGGTAAAAGAAGTTGATGTGGGGCTTTGCACTCTAACTAGCGAGAGGGCATACAATTAATGAAATAGGTAGCACAAAGGACAGCCTCAAGCCAAAAACGTTTCAGGACCTTCATATGAATGAGTAAACCCCTGGCCACTTCAAGAAGGTGTCGGCTCCTTCTTTCAGCAACACCATTTTGTTGTGGTGTTCGGGCACATGAGCTACGGTGAAGTGATGCATGTGAAGCAAAGAATTCCGCGAGATCATTATGAAAATATTCTTTGGCATTATTGGATTAGAAAATTTGGATCTCAGTTTGAAATTGGGTGAAGATCATTCAGTGGAAATCTTGGATAATTTTTGGTACTTCATCCTTGGTTCGCATGGGATATATCCATGTGTATCTGGAGTAATCATCAATAAAGGTAATAAAATATTTGTAACCACTCTCGGACGGTAAAGTAATAGGGCCCCAAACATCAGAATGAATAATATGGAAAGGAAATTCAGATTTATTATTCTTTGAAGAAAAATGAGTTCTACAATGCTTACTCAATTGACAAGTTTGACATGTAAACTGTGACACTAACACTGACTTAAATAACTTTGGAAACACCAAATTTAAAAATTCGAAAGACAAATGACTGAGATGATCGTGCCATAAATAGACTTGACTCGTACTAGACTGACTCTTAGACTCTGTGACTGTAAGACCAGCCTTATTCTCCAGCATGTAGAGTCCATCCACCATACGTCCTCTTCCAATTGTCTTCCCCGAGGCCAAATCCTGGAGTACACAATAAGAAGGGAAAAATGTTACTAAGCAGTTTAAAGAATTAGTGATACTACTAATAGAGAACAAATTAATAGGGAATTTTGGAACATGTAAGACATTAGTCAAGGTGAGGCCAAAGGGAAGAGAAATGGTTCCTTGACCAGCTATGGTAGAATATGAACCATCAGCTAGTTTCACATTGTCTCTTCCGGAGAGGAGGTGGTAGGTTTGGAAATAAGTGGACTTACCAGTTATATGCTTTGACGCTCTAGAATCAATTATCCAAGGAGAGTCAGGGGAATGAGACGATACATGGAAAGGTGTGGCAAAGTTACCTGATGTAAACACAAATGAAGTTGAAGGAGGAGGAGAATCCATCTGAAGAATTGCTCTACCATAGAGTTCTAAATGGTCACGGAAGGAATTAATAATATCCTTCCTCGGGTCAGAACCAGAAGTGTGTGTCTAAGTCATAGTAGTAGTGGGGGGCTGATTCTCCTGAGAAGCCATATTTGCTGTGGTGAACTTTCTTGGACCTTTCTGTCCTGACTTCTTATTCAGATCTGAACCTTGCTTCTTGCTTAATTCCTGGGCCCATTGTGGCTTCCTATGAAGATCCCAGCATGCTTCACGGGTGTGTCGGGGTTTCTAGCAATGGGTGTACCATAGTTTGTCTTTGTCTTCCACCCTTTTTTGAAGGCCCTCCTTCTTAAAAAAATTTTCCTAGTAACATTCCCTTTTGCTGCCAACACAATTGCATCCCCTCCAGAGCTGTTCATTAAATTTCTTCTACTTTCTTCCGACTATACTAATGCATAAACCTCCTGGACAGATGGAAGATCCTTGCTGCCTAGGATCTGGACTCTGATGGATTCGTACACTGGATTCAAGCCATGGAGAAATGCATACACTCTTTGTTGGGAAACAAGCTTCTTGTATGCTTTTGCATCTTCATCACACTTCCGGTCTACACTCTGATAGTGATCTAACTCCTTTCAGACGGAGGTCAAATCTGAATAGTATGTAGAAAGGTTCCTCTCCCCCTGTTTACAAGTGGATGATTGTGTCTGTAACTGATAGATTTTTGCATAGTGACACAGTTCAGAATAGGTCAATTTTGCCTGCTCCCAAATCTCATAAGCCGTTTCAGTCCACATAAAGTTCCTTCTCACCTGAGGTTGCATAGACACCGAAAGCCAGGAACATAACCATGCTGTTTTCCTGGTTCCATCTGTCATACTCAGCACTCCCGGAATTCGGTTCTTAAATTCTCCCATTTATATACCCTATCTTTCCCCTTGCAGTAATGTATAACTTGATCCCCCTCGACCATTCTAAATAATTCAAGCCATCCAAGGGTATAACAGCCATAGGGAAGGATAAATCTATACCCCCACTTATTCTGTTCTGCATTGAGGAGACTCTAGATGTGGTAGAGTCTCACCACTCATAATCACAACTTCAGGTTACACTCCAAGTGAACACAAAAAGCCCAAAAAGAAACAGCCGAACACCCCAATAAAACTCTTTGCACCAGGGAATTAGAGACAACCACTCCCCTCCTTTCCCCCCTTTTAAATCTCAGTTCTTCAAACAAAATCGGCTGCTGTTACAGAACTCACTGGTCATCACTGGCCTACCATAAATCAGGTATGGCTGTTGTCGCAGTATGTACAGGTCCTCTCTTGACCTACAAATCAAGTGTGGCTGCTGTCGCAGCATATACAGGTCATCCCCTGACCTACAAATTCATCAGAAGGCTGCTGTCGCAGCATACAAAGGTCATCACTGACCTACAATCTGTTACAGGGATCAGCTGATCCCACAAAAAAGGAAAGAAGAGGGTGCTGCTCACCTCACATTAACTAACTGAACCTATTACAGGTTCTATTCTGGCACACGACCAGAAAAAATAAAAAAGGAGAAAGGGAGAGAGAGTACTTTAGATCTGAATCTGGATCTGGATCTTTAATAAATCTCACTGTAGCTGGCGAAGGAAGAAGACAGAAAAGGTTTGGTCGATCTCTTCTTTCATATCTGACAGTCCCGCTTTGATACCATGTTATCCAGAAGAGAAGAAGAAAGGAAGAGAGAAGAAAGAAAGAGATTTGGAGTCACCAAAGAGATGCTGGTGGCGCCAGCTTTTTATTATTTATACTAGGGCGACACAACTTAAAATAAAAGGTGCTGAAAGTACCAAAGTACCCCTGTGGTACTAAACTTGCAAATAATTGCAAATAATAACCTTTCAACAACAACTATTATTAGGTCTATAATTTTCTGAGACAGTTTTGTCTAATTGCTAGGCAAATTTAAGAGAAGTGTGAAAGGAGCAATACAAAATATTTCTAAAAGGAAGCAAATTTATTGATTTATGTTCTACATGAACATTAAATTGGAAATTTTTCCTTCTCCCTGTTGGTGTCATATGTTAAAGCTTATATTTCTTTCGTCTGTAAAATTATAAAATCAAAATGCTGCTCTGCATTTTCTACAACTAGTTAATTTAGATAGATGTAAGTTGAGGTTTCTCATTTTCTTTTTCTGTACATGTATGCTAAACATTATTATGAAGTGAAAATTTGTATCCTCTACTCTGAAAGTTTTATATTGAAAAATTGCTCTTTATTTTCTAGAATACAGGTGATTTGGGTTAAGTGAATTGTGTTTGTAACTTCGTATCTAATAGAGTTCCTTGATTTTTAGTAGAATTGGTCCTTTGGTCTTAGTACCAGGGTTTAGATTACGGTATTTATGGAAAACCAGATGATTGGAAAGACATTGATACATCTAAAGAGTTGTCTTTGACTCGTGTTGTTAGTTTTGTTTGTATGCCATTGGCACTATTTTGTTGATTGAATCATGTTTAGAATGTTTTATTTTGCTATCTACAGGTTCACTGGTTCAGCATGGGCATCTATCCTTTATGGATGGGGGAACCTTGTATGCTTGTACTGGTGGGTTCTCCTTTATAACAAGTTCCTTCTGAAGCAGTAATTCTGTTTAATAAAGTTGGCCTTCACTATTATCTTGGGATCTTAAAAATGTGCTTTCTATGTTTCAGTTTCAACAGCATTAGTAGGGAATTCTTCTTGGCAGCAACACTTGGACTATATGGTTGGATAGGTACTTCCTCTACTTATTGTATCTTGGTAGAATTTCTATTTCGGCCCTGTTCACTTTTTGGGAAATTACTTACCCAGGTAAATGCACTCACTTCCCAGGTAAATAATAAAATGACCGTTTTAATCATAAAAATTCATTATCAAAAGGGGCAATTTTGTCCCATACAAGTATTGGCAACTTTCCCCTCAGGTGGGAAAGTTACTAACCCACCTAGGAGATGGGTACCCAGGGAAAATAAAATTTCCATGGGCCCCAAATAAATCTGAAAAAAGAAAATGGGTATCTTGGTCAATGGGAACCAAAATCCCATTGACCAACTTCCCCCCTCTCAAAATCCAAAAAACGAACAGGCCCTTAAGGTTGTAGTTGCCATGATTTTAGAATATAGAGAGATAGGTTGTCATCACTTTCACCAAGTGTTCTCCTTAGTGTTGATCTGGTCTATGGGATCTCATAAATGATAAATGACCTGAACACTCTATCCTATCCTTCTGGGTTTATGCGATTTATTGTAATTTTAAGAGATTGATCAGGTGCTTAGTATCATGAAATTTGCTACATTTTTGACTTATGATCTGCTTAGTGTGAGACACCACCTGGGTGCTGGGTGTCTCCTAAAAACTACATTTGGCATGCCATTTGCACGAAAAGAGAATGGTTAGTTATTGTTATTCACATGGGTTCAAAATTCTAATTATTTATAAAGGCATAGGTTTGTTGATTCACATGAAATCGGTAGCATGCAGTCATTTGCACGAAAGCTTGAGATTAAAAGGAAAGAGTGTTGGGTTGCTTTGTTGTGTACAGGAACTGCTCTATGGAGAGACACCAAAGTCTATGGCTTCAACTCACCATTGAGATCTCTGAAGGAGTTGGTATTTGGAAGTTAAGTGCTCCTTTTAGTGCTGCCAAAGCTAGCAATACATTTCTTTATCAGAGGTCAATTTATTCTAGTGTTGGAAACATAATTTGGTTGTATTCTTCTCCAACACACCCCAGTGAAAACAGTGCCTTCCCACGGAGAGACCAACGCTTGTCCTCAGACAGTAACTGCAGTATTGCTAGATTCACTATTCGTTAGGTTTGATATTGGCACAATGTCTTCAGAACTGATGCAATTCTTGAAGGCAGCTTATAACAATTTGTTTCCTTTTGTACTTTGAGAGTGGGGCTCTTAAGCAAGTTGCCAGAAGTTTTTAATGAAGTAATAATAAGCTTGTTACAGTAGTGTTGTTGTCATGAAGGCATGTTGTGGGTACTTGGTTGGACAGTAGGAAAATTTCTAGGAAGTTTCTAACTTCTAATTTAATGCATATAAAAAGGTTAAGAACTAAGTTAGGTTAGCCCAGCATTACTTCTGGGTCAGGCTGGGCTGTGCTGGTCGAGCCTTTGCCGGCCCGTTGCTACAGCCCACAGGATCTCAATGGTTATGATGAAATTTATATGGTTAATTGGAAGTACTTAGACATAATAAATTTTATGATTGGTTATGTCCTTTTAGTTGATGGGTTGGCCTAAGAATTATCAGAAAGCCATCAACTAAAAGGGAATACATCTGAACCGTCCGTTTAGTTAACCATCTAATCTTATATGTCAGATGGAAATACTACACATTTGTGAACATGAATGCTGGATGCCTGGAATTTTTTCGGAGGCAGCCCATCTAGTGGACGGCTTAAATTGTTAGGGATCCACATAAGAAACCACTTTCTTCTGTTTCTTAGGCTATAAAGTTGGTACAATGTTTAGGTTAAAAAGTAGAAACTTTACATAATCTAAAGGGGTGGTTGTGCACTGCATATAGTTTTGATTTTGAAAATATTTGAAGTGGTTGCCACATCAGCAAAATTATATCGCTTTTGCTGATGAGTGATGAGGCAGTTGTTTTTGTTTGAAAAAACAAAACCATACACATTACCAAATATCTCCTAAAATGTCATAATATGGTTTTCCCCTTGAGGGAAAACTCTTGAAGTGACTCCACAGAACTTTCCCTCTTCTTTTTAATTTCTATCAGACCAAACACCCCCTAAAATGCCAATGTGTTTCTTCCCTTAAGCTATATGTAAAGTTCTCAAGTAACTTCATAGAATTCTTTAAGAAGTTTTTCTCAACACTCTGTTTTCCCAATTTTCTATCAATCCAAATATAGCCTTAATTTCTAGCTGTTGGGATGAAAGAACATACTTTAATTAAAGAGCCCACCTGGTCAACTTGGTGGGTTGACCTCAGACCGAGTCAACCCGAACGAACTTTCTCACCTTAATGGTTTTAACAACTTGGGTGTGGCCAATTTCGTTAGCTACACATTCTGATCTGAAGAATCTCTCATGTCCCTATTGAATGAATATTCCTGGTTCTTTACAAATCCGGTGTAAGACTTGATAATATAAGTTCGTCGTGCAATTACCTCGCATAAATGGGTGCAAAGCATGGAACCTTCATACCACAATAAATATACACGCAGAGTAGTTACACCCTGCATGCAATTAGTGACTAGTGATCGAAGAAGAAAAGAAACCGTATGATCAGTTTATCCATTCAGTGATTAGTCTTTCCAATTCACCGCAACTTAGGAATATTACTTCTTCTTCATCAACATGGTATGGATCCTTCTCATGATCATCCTTATTCATCTACCAGAGGCTTCTCATGTCCAGGCCAAGGATGGAAGTTTCAGTGTTGAGCTCATCCACCGAGATTATTCTCCATTTTCACCTTTCTACAACGATTCAGACACCCCATTAGAGCGCCTCAGAAAATCTTTTCACCGTTCGAGATCTCGACTTGAATATTTTCGTTCCACGATCCGTTCTCTAGCTTCTGCTACCTCTTCTGCAAATAGCTTCGCATCCATGGTGACTCCGAGCAACGCTGAGTATCTCGTAAAGCTATCCATTGGCACGCCACCATTTGAGTTCTTTGCCATTGTCGACACCGGAAGCGATCTCACATGGGCCAAATGCAAGCCTCCCAATCAGGTTTATGACGCAGATGCATCCCTCTTTGATCCCCAATCCTCTTCCACTTACCATGTTCTGCCATGCTTCTCAACACCCTGCAAATTTCTAAACCCATCTTTCTGCGCTTCTGAAGAGGCCTGCCGGTACTCTTACTCTTACAGAGACAACTCTTCTACCGTCGGAACTCTTGCCGTAGAGAACCTAAGCTTCAATCCTGTTGCGCGGGGAAACATTGTCTTTGGCTGTGCAGACACTTACAGTGGAGTCTTGAGCCAAATTGGCGCTGGGTTTATTGGCCTTGGCGGTGGATCTCTGTCTCTCGTCACTCAGTTGGGCGCTTCCATAGGAGGAAAGTTCTCCTACTGTCTCGTGCCTATGCAAGAAAACAACATCAGTAGCATCCTCAGTTTCGGCAGCAGTGCCATGGCCTACAGCAGCGACACAGTCTCAACACCTTTAACACCCAAAGAGCCAAAAACGTTTTACTATCTTACACTGGAAGGCCTCAGCGTCAACAACCAGAGTTTTGATGCAGTTCAGGCTCCTGGAAATATCATCATCGATTCCGGCACAGAAAACACATATTTAAGCGTTGATCTTTACAACCAGTTAGAACTGGCGTTGTTGGATTTCGTCAATCTTACTCGGGCTGAGGACTTGACCGGAATTTATCAACTGTGCTTCGAGAGAAATGAGCCATTAATGGCTACACTTCCAGACATAGTATTTCGTTTTTCAGATGCTAAGTTGGTTTTGGGGCCGCTTAATACTTTTGTTGACGCCAATGGCCTGGTTTGCCTAGCGATACTTCCAAGCGACGATGGCTTCTCTATCTTCGGAAATGTGGCTCAGAGGAATTTCTTGGTCAGTTATGATCTTGAAGAGAGAAAGGTGTCATTTGCTAGAACCAAATGCTCCAGCAGTAGTGCAAATTTGTATTCCCACGGAGTGCATTTCTATCCCTCAATTGTTTTCCTCATATTGTCTGTGGCCTCGTTTAAGTTACTGACTTTCTAGAATCACATTCTTTCTAACTTGTAAGATGCAAAAGGAGAACCAAATTTGTGCCTATATTCCCATTCCTCATTTCATTTGGTTCAGGTTGCCATCCCATCAATAGAGATTGCCTATGGTCTTTTATCATAAGGATTTGTGGTTTTTGGTCTTTGAATAAACTAAAATCCAAATCATTCCCTTTCTCTTATCATCCAGCATCGTGGTTGGTTCAAGTTGCTACAATTAATACAGATTGTTTTGTGGTCCTTCATCCCAACAATTGTGGTTTCAATTTCTTTGAACAATTCAAAAAAGCTGAGATTAGGTCTTTCTTTATGCCTGGAAAGTCAGAAAGCTTTGTTTGGTAAAAATGCAGGAAGCTTAAAAAAAAAAAGCCTTCCATGAGCCATATAAATTAATCAACTTTCCGGTAAAGCTATCATAAGTAGCTTCTCAGAAATGGCTGGGTCAACAGAGCTCAATCACCGTAGAAGACCTCCCAAACAGGCTCTTTCTAGGATCTCTCATAACAGTTAGTTAGAACTAGAAGCTGTTTATTCTTCTTTATTCTAAGATATGTGGCTTTCATTATTTTATATTTTTTAATGAGACCAAACATGAGGCCTTCCTTTCTTGGTTGTCTGCTAAAACTGCAGTTTAATATTTTAAAATGAAAGTCTTCTTTTAATATTTAATGGTAAAATTAAATGAAAAAATACGGACATGCTCAATGCAAATTTCTGAATTTCATTGGAGAGTTATAAACATTCAAAATGTCAAAAACCCCCTATTTTATACACTAATATCACCTATGAATTGGTATCAATTCTAAATTGGCACCTACCCTAATTGTACGTTGGGCCTAAAAATTTTGACCCTGGGCTGAACTGCGTTCTCCATAAACCTTGTTGCTAATAAACTAATAATGGATTTCGTCGTCGTTAATTCGTTATATGTGCAATAATTATCATCGAACCAGATCTTGCAAAGTGCCCGTTTGACAGGGTTTGAAGCACGAAATAGCCTATAAGCTATGTTTGGCCGGAGATACCAAGTCTGTTGTCAGTCATTCATTTTGAGAGGTTATCCACTTCAGCCTCTTTCAATAGCTTATTAAGAGGGCTCCAAAACAGATGAACTAGCTTAACTGAGGATCCATATGCAAGGGCTGAAGCATTGACTGATCTTCTCTGGAGAAGTCACCGACGGAAAACTTCGGTGGAAAGCCATGTTTCTTGCTTTCAGATATTCTGGGCTTTCTGGGATTTTCATCAACCATAGCCGCTGTGTAAAAGCACACTCCCAAATGGCCACCAAAAATTGTGCTAATGTCTGAAAGAATCTCAGAGTTCTTTTTCCACTCTGCATTTCCAAGATCCAAATGAGATAATCAGATATCCTCCTTATCCATCTCTTAGGTGGATAAATTTTTCATTTCAGGAGAAAGTTTATAAAACATACTGGAACAATTTTTTCTATTTTGATATTATTTTTTAATGGATAAAAATATCATTCTGTTATTTATCGAAGAATACTAGAAATCAAAAGAATATAGATAGGTAAGTGAATTTATCCAAAATAAATATATTTACCCGAATAAGTTACAAATTTATAAACAAATGAAGCTTGAGTAATATCATGAGAATCATTTTTGTCGAGGGGATGGAGCTTCTATTGACGAATCCTTTATAATTGAACGGCAGAAACTAACGAGAACCAAACCCAGTTCGAGATTTATGACATTCAGTAATAAAAAAACTCGTAGTTTGTTTCTTCACTCTGAATTAAACCTGCCTCCATTCACGGCAATTGCAGCTTTTGAACTCTGATTTTACAAATTTGTTGGTCTTAGAACTAACCAACCAATTAACCAGACGAATCAAAGTATCCAATTCTCCAAAGTTGAATTGATTACAGCCTTTGAAAACAACTGGAGTTGGGCAAATTTGCCGTTTGTGAGGGTTTCATTGACCGAACTGCCTCGGAAAAGCTACTTAAAATTAGTTTCACCAGAAAATTGATTTTGTAACTGAAGTAAAGCATTCTTGGGCTTTTAGGGTTTTTTCATCAAATGTAGCTTCTAGGCTATATGTGAGACCCACAACCCGCTGCACAAAAGCAACTCCTAAACGGGCACTCTCTTTCACACAGGCCACATCAGTTTCTACCGAATTTGTTTTCATATGGATTTAAATCAAAGAAATTTGAGGAATTTACCAAATTGTGATGAACATTATTGGTAATTTACCGAATTATTCACAGCTTTGGCAAATTTATGAACAAATTGCTAATTTTACTTTTTTTTTTTGAAGGTTTAGCAAAAATGATGAATTATCTGTGAAAATAAATTTTGGTATTTGGTGATATGCACAACACTAATAACCCCCACGATTGCAGGAATCGAATCCGCACAACACTAATAACATACCAACTGAGCAACACCTCAGTTGGCATCCGCGAAAATGAATCAAGTCATCAGTAATTCAGACAGTCAAATATGGGATTTTTTGTTTGTATATTTGTTTCTGTAATTTAGATTTATAAATATTTACATATATAGAAGATTAGTAAATAATAGAACAAATTACATATAAAATGCTGAAATTTTACAAATGAATGTTGGTGTGCCTGGTCAAGAGCTATTGCAGCAGCTACAGAATACCTCACGCATGCAGAAGTAGGAGGTAAATATTGATCCTCTTGAATGCTGCTTCCAACAAAAATTGGAAGCACAAATGTTTGATGAATGTACACCTGCCAATTTGAACTATTACCAAAAATAAGAAAGAAAAAGAATGTACAAACACTTGCCAATTTGTTACCTAAGCCAAACTTGTGATGATCTTACATAGTTGATGGCTCATTGAGAGGTGCAAAAGTTGGCATCAAAGATTACAAAAGTTGAGAATCAGAACTCAACAGATAATATGAAATAAAGATAATGGAATGAATGTTACCTTATGAATTAAAAATCTTATCCCAGAAAGAAGAAAAACTATCACAAATAGCTGCCTACCAAAAAAACTTAATATTAGCATAACCTCCATTTAATCTAGATATCCTTTTCAATTTCATATAGATAATTTTCATGAATAACATTCAATATAGTGTAACATGTGATTTCCTTCTTCAATTCAAAACCTTTAGGTTCCATTTGGAAGAAGTACAAATACAAATATGTAGAGTGCAAAATCTTGTATTTTGTATACATTTGTACTGTTCATATTAGTATTTGTACTCTTTCCAAACTGAGCCTTAAGGTTAGTACACTAAGACTATGTTTGGTTTGAAGGAAAGGGTAGGGAAACTTATACAAGGTTTGTAAAGGTTTCCCTACCTTTCCTACTTATTCCTTCAAACCAAACACAACGTAAGGGTATATGTTCTTTTTCTTTTCACAAAAGAAAAAGAAGCTTTTTACTTTCACAAAACCATTAATTCCAATTGGTTGACATAAAAATCAACATTATATTAAATAATGCACTTCTTGGAAACTAGACTAGTATAAAAATCGGAGATAGAAGTTTCATTTTTGGAAAAACAATAAAGAAACCATACAATGCACAAGTGACATGGTTTGCTTCATATTGTGAGAAAATTGCAATTTTGAATGAAATGACAATGCTTGACCAAATGCATAAACCAGCTCGGTTTTCTTAGGTTCTTATAGTTGGTGAATATAACAGATGGAAATTCTACAAGGTTCATTTAGAAAAATGAAAATTACCAAATCCAACCCATTGTTTAGAACTAGAGAATCAAAAAAAAAAAGGAAAAAATAGGTATTCTTACCAACATTTTTCCCCTTTTGAACCCATGGTGAAGCTTAAGCCTAGTTTTGGTTTTCCATCAGGCATCTAGTCCCTATGTTTAATTGGCTGACAGGGGAATCTTGTAAGTGTGGCAGGAGAAAATTATGGTATTTGGACACATGGGAAGACTTTTAGTTAGTCAGAAAAACTAGATTCATTAATAAAGAAAATCACTGAAATTGTTTGATCACTTGTGGAAGCATAAGAAATTACGCATTGCCCCCTAAAAAAACTCTAGAATTAATTATTAAAAAAATATATGCATTGCCATGAAAAGAATTATGTGATCACTTGTGGAAGCAACTTGATTACAATAGAAGGTTTAATTTAAAAAGAAATTATAAGTGAATCATCTCAGTATGGGGGTGCTTAGGCACCTGCCTAGGGTAATTCCCTAGGTTCCATAGAAACCAGACACCATATTTCACTAGTAATTATCAATAATCTTCATAAATAAGCACAAGAATGATAAAGTGCCAAGCATTCCTAAAGTGGTGACTTAGGGGTGCCTTGTCACCTAGGCACTTAAGTGAGGCATCCCTCAAACGGGCACTTGTCACCTAGGCATTCAAAAGAATCAAATCCAAGATGACAAATCAGTTATGTGGCCTTAGTAAACTACTGACTATGAGAGCAAAGCTAAAAGAGAAACAAGTTGTGAAAAATTACTATAGAGACCTTTTCCTTTCACCCCAGCATGCTGCTCTCATCTTCCCAATTGCAAGCAATTTGCAGAAAAAAAAGAAGAGAGATTTGCGTCAAGTTCAACTGAAACCTGGCAAACAGTTTGCATATTCAGATGCCAAAAATGCCATCTTGCAAATTAAGATAATAGGAAATAGAAAGGCTAATATAAACTGCTCAATTGGCAAACCTCAAAGAGAGGAGTGGATTCAATGTCTTCTTCTGTAACTTCTGAAACTATAATCAACTCTGAGCTCCAATTTGAATCTCTACAAACTCCATTACAAAGCCCACTCTATTTAGCTAGAAGTCTTAAATGATTCGTAAAACCTGTGACAGTGCTTTTCAAAGAAGAAATCCAAAAGATGAGGAAGAGTGAAGGGGTGGAGCCCCCTATCTTTTAGAAAAAACTTTTTGAACTTTCAATATATTTTTGACAAAAAATGCAAACCCTAAATATACCTGTTTAGAGAGTGTGGTGGATCAAACCTTGAAATTCAAGGCCCTTCCAAAGTTCAATCTCCTCTGAATTCTGAACTTCAATCTCCTCCTTTAACTTCATCCTTGGCAGGAAAGAGAAACTTAACCCCCCCCCCCCCCTTTTGAAGTTCTGAACTTACACAATCCAGATTCAAACCCATTCGACTTTATGGTTTTTGCCAGCAATTTTGTTGACCCTTCCATGCATCTTGTTGCTTCTTGAAGTCATTGTTGTTGGCCACTAGTAGGGGCTTCTCAAGCCTTAGGCCTTTTCAAACCAATTTTCTGAGGTGGATACTGACATTGTCCACCGAGAGGGAGGATTAGAATTTGCCATCAAAGAGATAAACTTTGGGATAAGGCACAAGAGTAGAGTGAAGGGTTTGTTTCCAAGGCTTAGAATTTTGGTCACAGGGGTGGGATAACTTCACATAAATGGGAAAAATTGTGGGTTAAAATATAGAGATTGGAGAGGCATCAGCAGTGGACTGTTTGATGGAACATATATCTGTCACTTGTTTAGCGGCCGACTGTTGATGGTCTGCACTGGAACTTTTAAAAGACTGATGATACTTGATTTCCAGATAAAGCAACTTTTCTTGTAGTCTGATCATAGAAGGCTGGCAAACACAAAACAAGCACCACAAATTATAGACAATGACAAGGTAATAGAAGTTTCTGCCTTGGGAAAGATCTATAACTAGCAATTGGGAAGCAGTACAACCATCCATGGAGATGCGCTGATCATAGTTCCGCTGCTGGAACAACTTGACCTGAGACCACTGTGGTTGGATCAGGCAATCATTAAAGGTTTGATACAAATGAGATAACTCATGCTCTTGCTATATCCTCTTATCTCTTCTAGAGAATTCCATTTGGATGAATGTCGTGCCTGACAGTATTTCTGAGAGGTTTACGGCCAATCCCCCTTTCATAATGAATAAAATATCATTGAGCTTTTTGATTCATGGAAAATCATTTTTTGGTTTATTGTCTTGGCATAATTTGTAGACCGGTGATAGTAAGAAGCTTGTTGTACATCAATAAAAATGGAAGCCTACACTAGCCAGGCTACTTTTTCTGGTTAAAGGGAATATCAATGTGGGAAGGACAATATATCCATTATCTACCCACTAAATATGTGCTCTATCAATGTGGATAGGTTGAGAAATTTGATCTTTTTCTCTCTTTCCTTTTGATATTTAAAAGCCTTCCTGCATTACAATTGGGAGAGACCAGAGACTTGGAAGCATGTGTTTTAGGCATTAAATGGTTTGTAAACAGAAACCTTTTCACCTTCCGTGGAGTTACTTCACTGATTGAACAAAAAAATCAGCCTAAAAAAGGGTCATTGCTCAATGTTGGTACTGGCTATCTGCGATCTTAGGATAGGTGGATTCAATACAGACCTAAACTTTGGTATATTTTGCACAAAGTGGCTTGCACTTGATCTGAAACCTGTACTCTCATGCTTGTGGTTTGTGAGCCTGAATTTTACCACTGCACCAAACAATGACCTCTCAATAGGTAATCATTCAAACCTTTTCCCTGCATATCCAAAAAAGAAAAAAAATCAGACTCTTTCTACTACAACCTCCAGAATTCAGGGGCAGTAGTTCCTTTTAACACTCTTCATGTATTGAGCTTGAACTTGTTTCCAGGGAAGAGAAAATGCAGAAAAAAATTTCTCTTCATTTGCTTTTAACTTGATCTCACTCACATGATGCGTCCAGTTTTAGCTTGCTCCCAGTAAGGATCAAATCAACTAAAAAGAAGTCTCTGAAATCTCTTTTATGTCATACTTCAAATTCTCTTTCCGATGGCAAGTCTTAAAAGGAACAAGAACAAAAGAAAGAAACTTTTTTGCCTTAAAAGCAGAAACAGAAGAAGACAATCCATAATCAAGAAAAAGAGATAATGAACCAATGACTTTGCTTCCAATCACTACAGAATTTAATCTTTCAATTATTTGTTGTAGAAACGTGCCAATTTAGAATTACAAATCCTGGCATGAAGAGGAAACTGATAAGAAAACGTAGTTCTTTCCTCATTAGAAAAAGAACAAAATTAAAAATAAAGAGAAAGACAGCCAGTTTACAGTTCCAATCCCCATAAAATCATTCTAAATAATTAGACATCATGATCCAAATTCCAATGGCAGGAAAGGTGTTAAAAAGTGGAAAGATCTCAGACAAATAAAAAATATAGCAATTAATTAAGCGAGACAACAGCCAAGCTAAATATGAAGCAATTTGATTTGTAAAACTATCAGGATACATTGTATTTGAGGTCTCAGAATCACATTTTCAAATTCATTCATGAAGTATATACCTTCTATAGTAGATAACACTAAATGGGGAAAGGAAAAATAACAGAGGAAATAATTGAGACTATAACAACCTGTACTAATCCTGAACTTCTGCTTCCAGGGACAATTTCTGTCTAGTTAAAATGAACCCAAACTTTAGGCTAAAGCACCATCAACCACAGTCACTTAAATATTTCATCGTCACTCAATAAATCTTCAACAGTAGAAACCTCCATTCTAGCTGAAGCCTGCTTTGCCCATCTCAAGACCTTTTCAACTTCTCTGTTTATCTCTTCTTCCTCTCCTAATGCCTTCTTTAGCTTCCTCCTCTGGTGTTTCAGAGAAGACTTAGTTAAGTCCTGGTCATTCTTTTCCCATTCTGGAGTGTCAATACTGAGACCTGTCACCCGGTTCTCCTTTCCCTTTTTCCTGGGTACCCTTTTCGGGGAATACCAAAAGCAGCAGGTTTGTCGAGGCGGTGAAGAAGCTTCCAGTGACGAATCGGATGAAGATGAAGGAGAAGAAACATACCCAGTAGTTCTTAATCTGGGGTTTGAATCCTTTCTATCTTTCGATTTTACAGGAGTAGCAATCACATCTTCCTGACCAGGAAGCGGACTTGGGAATTTTTGATCTTCGCTTGAGCTCTTCAACTCCTTTCCGGCATCGAACTTGGATGAGTCGTGAGGAGGAGACTGAGACTGGAGATTATGATCACTCTTTTCATCTGAGGGCGACGTGGGTTCCCTCTTGCATCGATTTGAACTTGGAGGTGAGTGCCTCTTTTCTGGATTGGAAGATGGGTTTTGTGTTTTGAGCTTGGGCTTCGCTCCCGGAAACGATTTGAGCTTGCGGAACCTGGTCTCGAGCTCGGTGGGCAAAACAGAGTCTGAAATACCAGAGCAGTTGATGGCTGAGACTTGTTCGAGAACAACGAGGTCCTTTGCTTGAGAAATTATGTTCTCAACTGCGGACTCATCACTGTCAGAGAGAAACGAGAAGTCGGCCATGGCAGGTAGAAGAAGCAGAAGTGGAGAACTCAAAGAGAGAGAGAGAGAGTGCTGAGTAATTTAGCCGTTTTAGTGTTGTACCTTTTAAATAGGTCATATGGACGTCAGACGTGCTATTGTAATTGGTATCAACGGCTACTATGACTGGCATTTTTCACCATTGAATTTCTGACCGTTCGGACTCTTCTCGCAGGGGTATCGCCTACCTTTTCCACCGCAGAGAATGGCAATCCTTGGAAAAACATGGAGGGAGACTCATAGATGGGACGATTTGAAGGTCGATCAACATTGTCCAAGTCCATTTAGGTTTTGGGCCCAAGTCATACTTATGCGTAAGGCTTGGCCTGAGACACCTGGCCCAGCCCAGGTGGCTCTTTCTAAATTGGGGAGCGCTCTGAGACAGATTGGGGAAACAGAGATATCTTTCCCATTCATGTGGTGTTTGTTCTTAAACTGAAGCATCGGGAGACATATCACCCACCTCTGTTAACGACTAGTAAATTGATGATGATTATGATAATAATAAAACGTGTATTCAATTTTTTTATAAAAGTTTTGTTCATATTTTAACTTTATCATACATTTTAACTCCAAAGTTAAACTGTTAGGTCCACCAACAAATAGTAAAACAAATTTACGTTTGAGTTGGTTTTAAATTTTCTATTTCATTTTCATCATTAATAAAAAGTTTTTATTTATCATTATCATCATCATCTCTGCAATATCCCATTATATATGGGATAAAAATTATTGTTTATCACTCTTATTATTTTTCTTTAATAGGATTAATATAAAGTATTAGAGATGTAGCTAGTTTTTTTTACAATTTTTTATTTTTATATTCAATTTTGTTTTTAAAAGTTTTATTATTTAATTGATATCATCGGTTGGTCCATTTACACTAGATGGCTGAATTGCTTACCCTTTATCTTGATCAAAGAACGGTTTCATTTTTGGGTTAATTTGAAAAAAAACATGGGTTTTACATCGTTAAAAGTATTGGATATAGATCTAATTAGTAAAATTTATTGGTGATCAGAAAAACTATATATTAAATATAGAATTTAATGAGAGAGAATGGAAGTTTATACCTTCAATATAAGACTTAAAAAATGTTGAATTTAAAAAATGAGAGAGAATTGAATGAAGTAAAAATTAATAGTTCAAATTATGATTTTTATCTTCATAATCAAAGAGCGATCAAATTCAAAAGTAATGATATTTTAATCAAAAATAAAAGTTCCACGAGCTCATTCATACTATTAATTCATCTAGATTCTCTAGGATACTAAAATGCTTTGATATCTCAAAACACTTTAACAAACAGAAATCCAAGTGAATTTCAATGAATGCCACTTTGATCGATTATTGGTTTTTTAGGTATGATATCTTTCATTAAATAGTTTATTTCTTTATCCATAAGATTTAGATCAGACATTTAGATATTGAATATGATTAATAAATTTTAAAATAAAAAATGAATTTAATATTATATATCATGAATGACTTAAAAATAACTTTTATAATATTTAAATTTGTGATTTAATCAACATACAACAAATGGATGCTATTTGTAGTTCGATGCAAAGTAATTAAAATTCATAAAAAAATGCATAAAAAGAACTCAAAATTCCACATTTCTGAATTCTACACCACACATTTTGTAAGTCCAAACAATGAAATCTACACATGGGCTGTTGAATGGAATCAAACTGAGGGATCTCAAAAAAAAAAAAAAAAAAAAAAGAGAGAGAGAAACCATGTGGCAAGGGTTTTTGAACTCAAATTTGGCACTTAAAATACTGTTTTTTGATAACGGTTGACGATGCTGAACTGAAAGTTTATTGCTTTGTCTTTTAGTAAATAAGATTTTAAAAAGATTATGAATTTGAAATTGGATTGACCATTATATTCTTGGAAATTTTATTACTTAATTATTTTTATCAATTAGAATTTAGAAGAAAAAGCACTAAATCATTCAGTCCAGCAATTTCAGCCGTTATCAAACGGCCCAGGTAGGAATGTAAAGAACCATTTAGGGAACCAACTTTTTAAGTGGAAGATTCCTTGGTCATTCAGCTTTAATTTTGCACTAAAAAATTCTGACGAACTTCACACACAGATGCATTTGTATGTCTGAGGGGGCATTTTTTGAGTTTCCGTTGACCCATCTTGCGTTCTACCAATCTATCTCTCCAAACATGTTACATCAACAAAAGGAATTCTGACGAACTTCACACACAGATGCATTTGTATGTCTGAGGGGGCATTTTTTGAGTTTCCGTTGACCCATCTTGCGTTCTACCAATCTATCTCTCCAAACATGTTACATCAACAAAAGGAAGCCAATATCTGACCCCTCAGAGGCTTCAAAACCTGACCAACTCACTAAGGCCTGATCGCGATAGAAGTCTGAGCCCAGCCCAAATGGTATTGGGTTTGGGTTCAGCCTTGGTCCAAGTTTTTTTTTTTTTGGTGAAAGTATTCGGGTTTGGTTCCAAATCTAGGTCAACCCTCTCAAGTTTCATTAGTGGTGGCAATTGGGCGGGTTGGGTTGGATTTGGTTTGGGTTGAATTTCAATCCAACCCATTTAATCCGCCAATCCGTTAATGACACAATTATGAAAAATTAAATGGGTTGGGTTCAACTCAAACCCGCTTTAACCCAATCCAATCTGCCCAAACCCATTAATCTTATATTTATGTACTTAAAACTAAAAACTAACTCCATCGTAATAAATAAGTTGGTCATAGCTTAGTGGTAATAGTAGTTGCTATTTACACAAGTGGTGAAGGTTCAAACCACATAACTATCTAATTAGATTGTCTTTGAGCTAATCACATCAAGAGTGGTTGAACCATTTAGATATGGACCAGGTCCCGATTGAATCGGTTCGGACCGGTCGGACCAAACCCGAATAGACCGAATTCAGTCCGGTCGGGATCAAACCCAACTGGGCCGGTTCAGCTCTATCAGGCCAGGCCCGACTGGACTGGACCAAACCGGATTCGGGTCAGTCCCAGGTCAGAGGCTCCAAAGGATCTAGGTCAGCTAGCATTATTGGGCTGGGCCAAATTTAGGTTGGGTTGTATGGATACGAGCCAAGCCGATGATTCGAACTGGGCAAAGCAAGTGGGTGGTTTAGAGTCTGGACTTCACCCGGTCCGACCCGCTTCAGATTTGGGTCGACCCGAATCAGCTTGTGTCGGTCCAGGTTGTGTGAATAATGGTTGGACTGGATGATCCAACCGGGCAAAGCAAGCGATACCGAGCCATCCCGTTTGAGGTCTATTTCAAATTCGAGTTGACCCATCGGTATATGTTGGATGAAATTGATTTGGATTTATGTTGGGTGAAGTGTGTTGATTCAAGACAAAACTAAATTTAGTCAATAATTAATAGAAAATTAATGCATTAATTATAAATTAATTAATTCAAATGAAGAAAATAAAAAAAGGATAGGAATTAATACTTATATTTGTAATGGTTAACCCAACAGTTATCCACAATCCAATCCATTTAAGTGGGTGGATTGGGTGATAGATTGACCACACAACCCGCCAAGTAAATGGGCAGGTTGGGTAAATTAGATTTTGGGTGGGTTAGGCGGATTGGGTGAAAAATTGTCACTTTTAAGTTTCATCCTATTAGATTTGATTAATGACTTAGGGGTGGATAAGAATCGAATTTTTTACAAGTTATTCAAACTCGACTCTTAAGATTCATGAGTCTAGTCAAACTTTATATATATATATATATATCCTTATATATATATATATATCCTATTTTTATAAAAAGTTTAATTCAATCTATTTTAAGCTGAGTTGAAATTAAATTTACAAAATTTTGAACCAAGTTGAATTTAAGCTCAAATCTTTAATTTGAATCGTGTTCGACTTTCAAATTTTGTTTTTTTTTTTGTTTTTTATTTTATTTTAGAGTCAAGCTTGAATATTAGAATCCACCCTTAATTGAGACGATTTATAGCCCCAAAATAAGTATGGGTTTTCTTGACACCCAATAACTAATACTTTCATGACACCCAATAATTAATACTTTTTTAAAAGAGATATGTTTTCTTCCAAAAGTCCAACTTTTTTAAATAATTAATACTTTCCATGTATAGCGGGATAATCATTAATCTTGCTTTTATTTTTGGTAGGGAATTCTGTGCTGTCATGGCACCGTATAAATACTTCACGTTTACAGCGGGATACAAATATGGTTCCCCACAAGAAAATCTATGCAGTAAATTAGGAATGCTTCTAAGCTTAGGCTATGCTTGATTTGATATAGGAAATAAGAGAGAAACAAAAATTTAGAAGGAAAGTTCTTATTTTTGGTTCCTCAACTTTCTGTTTCTATTTTATTTTCTATCAAACAAAGACTTAGCCTTAACGAATTCATTCTAAGTTATCAAATAAATAAATAAAATCCATTCTATCTGCAATTTCAACCGTTATCTTTTGGTGAATTAGATTTTTAAGGAGGTTGCAACTGAAAGACAAAGAAAAGCAATAAGTCTTTCAATTCAGCAATTTCAACCGTTATCAAACGGCCCCTAAGAGAAAGGAAATTAAACATTTTTTACCACACTATTGCCCAACCTCTCTTCACCACCTCCATGCTTCCCTTTAACTTATGAACCCTAAGGGCTTTCTACACACTAAATAGTATTTATTCTACCTTCTCTTCTCATCTCTCTCTTTCTCTCTCGGAGTGCTACGGTGACTCGTGTCATGGCAACCAATAATCTCACTGTATCACCCTTGCATATTTTGATTTTGTTTTTCTCTATTTACCTCTCAAGCTATTCTCTAATAGAAGCCAGCCATGGTGGTTTCAGTATCAATCTCATCCACCGTGATTCATCTCTCTCTCCATTTTACAATCATTCTGAATCTCCTTCTCAGAGAATGCAGAATGCTTTTCATCGGTCAATAACCCGTGTCAACCGATTCAAGCAACCCAAGCTCTCTCCGGCGACAGTCCGATCAGTTTTGATTCCCAACGAGGAAAGTGGAGAGTATCTCATGAAACTGTTAGTGGGTACTCCTCCTTCACAAGTCCTAGCCATTGCTGATACTGGTAGTGATCTCATATGGACACAGTGCAAGCCTTGTGCCCACTGTTACAAGCAAAAACGTCCTCTCTTTGATCCTAAAAATTCTTCTACTTACAGGAACCTTCCATGCAAGTCAAAGCCCTGTAAATACCTAGAAAGCAGGTTCTGTAGCAGGAAAGGAAATCTCTGTGAGTACTGGTATACTTATGGAGATGGGTCAATGACTAAAGGAAACGTTGCTGCAGATACATTCACCTTGGCATCTACTAATGGGAGGTCTGTTGCCCTCCCAAAAATGGTGTTTGGATGCTCACACTACAGTCATGGCTCCTTCGGTGAACAAGAAACCGGTGTGGTTGGCCTTGGCAGGGGCTCGCTGTCATTGATTTCTCAGTTGGGTTCATTAGCTGATGGCAAATTCTCATACTGCTTGGTGCCGATGTCCAAAGAGAACGCCTCGAGCACACTGAGTTTTGGTCGCAGGGCTGTTGTTTCAGGCAAAGGTGTAGTCTCAACTCCTTTGGTTTGGGGAGAGGATGAATCCTTCTATTACCTCACACTAGAAGGTTTTAGTGTTGGAGACAAGAAGTTGACATATAGCAAGTATCCTTCGGCCAAGTCTGGTAAGACTAAGGAGAGTGGTAACATTATTATTGACTCTGGAACAACCTTGACGTTTCTCCCAGAAGAGTTGTTTAATGAATTGGAATCAGCAGTGAAGGATGAAATAGATCTTGAACCTGTTCCCGACCCTCATAAAGATCTCAAATTATGTTTTAGGACTAGGACTGATATCAAGGTACCCACCATCACTGCTCACTTTACTGGTGCAGATGTCCAGTTGAAGGCAGTGAACACTTTTGTTAGGATTGCAGATGATGTTGTGTGCTTGGCCATGCTCCCTTCTCAGTTTTCCATCTTTGGAAATTTGGCTCAAATCAACTTTTTGGTTGGCTATGATATTATATATAGGAAGGTGTCCTTCATGCCCACTGACTGTACAAAGCATTAACCGGAGTACCTTTATAATCAGTAGCTTCAATTTGCAATGCATGTCAAATAAAGGAGGAAAAAGAAATGTGATAGTAGAGAGATCTAACATATATTTTAGTGTGTTTCCTTTCTTTTCTTCTTGTAGGTATATAGTCATTCTATTTCTTTTTGGGAAAATTGCAGATCCGTACCCAGTACTTTTTGGGCCTAGTCATATTTTGGTCCAGGCCGAATTTCAAAACTTGCCAATCCATTATCCAAACTTTCAAAACGTGTCAATTTAGTATAAAATCGTTAACCGTCGTTAAGTGGCATGTGAGAAGATGCAAATGCCCTTTGAGTGTCATCTAATTTTTTTTATCAATCATCCAAATGTCCAAATCTTTTAGAAGACAATAGAGAAAAGCTTTGTCTAAAACCAATGTATTGCTTTGGTTCAATCTTAATCCTTGAGGAAAAAGATGATGAACGGTGTCAAAGTGTAATTTTGACATTTTCAAAAGTTTTAAGTTGCACATGTCATCACGTGATAGAAATAACTAACAGACTGCTATTGGCAGGGAATAAGCTGGCACATTTTTGAAAGTTTAAGTACTAGATTGACATGTTTAAAGTTTGGGGACCAAAGTGAGACTAGACCCAAAGTACAAGGTACTAATTTGCAATTCTCCCATTTTTTGGCTTTCTCCTCATATTTTGAGATGTAAATCCAGCTATCCTTGATTGCTTATAAAAGAAATTGTTCCTTTCAAAACAAAAATAGAGTTGGATAGATTCCTGTTCTTAATAAATGAGGCATATCCCTAAGGGTATGTTTAGGTTGGACTAATGACAAGGGTCAATCAAGGGGTATGCTCCTTCAAAAAGATAGGATGTGCCCAAAGACCCCCTCACAAGATTGGATTGTTTATGAAGTTCCTTGAGAATTTTCCCTTTGAGATAGGCCTATCACAGCCTTTAGTAAATGAAAGAAATTGCCCACAAAGTAATAATATGTATAGGGTTAGGTTGGAGTAGGCCTAATCTCGCTTTTCATATTGGGACGCATCTAAATTGGACTTGAGGTATGGTTGGGTCAGTGGAAAGGAATACAATTTGGATGAGCAAGGTCAAAGTATCTGAAATGCAAAGAGTATTAAAACAATTTTAAGAGATGTATTAGGATACAATTTGCATATATTAGAAAAATTAGGATATACATAAATATGTTAGGAAAACTGAAATCTAAGTCTTATATCACTAGAAATAAAATACATAAACATAGAAAACACATACTTTAATGGTTTATGTGAAATATGAACTACTAGGACACACCTAGCGGTGGCAAATGTGGAAGAGAAAATATAAGTTAAAATCTAGAAGTTATATTAGGATAACAAGTATACGCTTGTTGCCTCCTAACCTAAACATTTAGGTTGGAATCTCCTTGCCCAAAGCTTTTTATAACATATTAGTAAGTGTGCACATGCTTTGCATGTGGCAATTCTAGATGATGATAATTATAGTAATAATTTATCTAAAATTTTTTATAAACTGTATGTATTTTTTATTTTTTTTTGTTTATATATATATATATATATATTGCTTTTTATTATTAATCAAATGCAGATTGCAAAATCCAAATCCGATTACATAAACACTTCACCCAAATATGTGATAATCAAATCAAATTGTAAAGTTTTCAAATATCATTGATAGACCTACTTGCTTTGTAGGACTCTTCTTTTTGTAGTAGTTCAATTTACAATTTAAATCTTACATAATTAAATAGGGAATAAATTCAAAAATAAGTATTTTATTCATTATTTTAAAAACCAGACCAGACTGAATGGTCAGATCGTTTCACATGGGAACGGTCAGATCACTAGTTTTGTTTTGGCCTTAAACCACTATTTTACAAAAAAAAAAAAAAAAAAAAAATGAAATGGTCAGAGAAATGATGATCTGGGCAGTTTAACCGTTAAAATGTTCAACCCGGTTAACAGTTCTTGGGTTGCTTTCAAACTAATTTTTTAAAAAAAAAAAAAAAAAAAAACGTTGAAATGGTCAGAGAATCATTAACTTGGGTAGTTTAACCATTAAAATTTTTGACCTTGTTAACGGTTCTCGAGTTGCTTTCAAACTAATTCTGAAATTTTTGTTTATTTTAAAATAGAAATTAGAAAATAAAAAATTGAAGAAAGAAACTTTCAACTCTCATAATCATGTTCAGTTATTCCAAATGGCCATAATTATTTAAGGTTTTTAGTTTTTCCATTTTGATTTTGAGTTTTCTCATTTATGTGATTCTTTTTAGGGCCATTCTTTTTAAGTTGTAACAAAAAAAAAAAAACTCTAATGAAGAAATAAAAAAAAATCGATGCAAGAGATGAGAAATTAAACACCAATGTTGTATTAGAAATCGAAGATACAAATGAAGCAAACGATTTGGGATTTGAGAGAGATGTAAGGAGAGGGAAGCAGTATTGGCGGTAATGATGAATAGGGAGATAGCCACTGGTGGCGGTTCCTTCTTCTTCTTCTTCTCTTTCTTTTTTCTCACTTATTAGCTTTAACCATCTACATCATTCTCAGAGTTTCACACTCCCATCTCATAATAATGTATATATACGGTGGACCAAGGTTTTTAAAACCAGATCAGAGAGGGACCTGTTTTGGGGACCAATTCTTGAGTCAAATGGTTTAACCGTCTGATTTAAACGGACAACCCATTCTGACTTAAAAAACAAAAATAAAAAAAAGGCCAAAACGGTTGTCCAAGTCGATAGTCCAACCACCTAGGTCAGTGGGTCACCGACTAAATCAAAGGTTTTTAGCCAAAAAGCAGTTTTAGGGTAAAGTGGAACTGGTTACCTGACCGGTTTCCGATTTTTTTTGGTTTGGTCCGGTTTTCAAAACCATGCAATGGACTTTAACCTAATCCTAATCTAACTGTCAAAATAAAAAGTTGCATTATATTTTATATCTTACTAGTTTAACCCACTCAAATTGGACAGTTGAACCACTGACCCAAAAACCAGAAGCTAACGTATTCCATAATCTTATTCCTATTTTTAATAATAGTGTAAATATAGCAGCTTCTCAATGCGTCATTCAAAGGGGTGAAAATCAACAGGAATGCTCCAGCAATTACCCACCTACTGTTTGCCAATGATATAGTATTATTTATAAAGGCCACTGTGGACAGTTGCATCAGTCTGAAGAACATCCTCCATCACTTAGTGAAGCTTCTAGTCAGGTTATGAATTACCATAAATCCGAACTTTATTTTAGTAGGAATATACCAGGTTATTTTAAAAGAATGATGGTGAAAATTCTAAGGATTAATTCTCATCACATTAGTAAATTCCTGCGCATTCAGATGTCGATGGGGGAGAAGAAAGCAGACCTCGTACAAAGAAGTTATTGATAGATCATCAGCCAACCTAAAAAGTTGGAAGATGGCCCTTCTATATTGTTCTTAGTCATTATAGAATTCCCCACTAAGTGCTTTCCTCTCTGCAGCAGAAGAATGCATTTTTTTTTTTTCTGGGGTTAGAAAGCGGATGAAAGGAAGTTGAGATGGATCGGTTGGTCTACATTGTGTAATAGTAAAAATCAAGGGGGCTTGGGTTTTAGAGACCTGAACATCTTTAACCTTGTTATATTAGCCAAACTAGCTTGGCGCCTTCTTACTAAGGAGTCTCTCTGGGTTCAAGTTGTTTCAGCACGCAAAATGCTTTCATAATTCAGACTTCTTCTCTGCTAGTTTAGGGAGCAATCCTTCATTGGGTTGGCATAGCTTCCTGGAAGATAGAGATTTCCTCATCCATGGTCTGATTTGGAAGATAGGTAATGGTTGCAGAGTTAAGATTTGGGAGGACCCTTGGGTTCCTTGGGTTCCTGGAGTTGAAAGCCTTCCACAAAGCAGTGCAGTTGGCTTGTTGTTTAATTTTGTTGATATTACTATCTTCTCGGACTCGGACTCTTCGTTGGCTGCAAATGTTTTGTTAATATTACTATCTTCATTCTTCTAAGAGGCTGCAGAGGATGGCTCTTTTTGTTATGTTAAAAGATCTTTTAATAGGGTGACCCATGCAATTGCTAGGAAGGCTAGATCTTTTGTTAAGGAAGTAGTGGAATGGTTAGATAGCCTCTTTTTGTTTGTGTAACTTAGTTTTTGGATAAAATACTTAAACATACCTTGAGTTAAATTGCCTAAAACATACTCTCAATCAGTGAAACATCAGATATAAACTCATTTAAAATGATTGAAAAATCCTATTTTGCCCCTCCTATCACTTCAATAGATATGCAGCGTTTGAAAATTTGAAATGATAATTACCTACAAGTCTACAACTAATGGTTTGATGAGTTCCCAGTGATCTATTTCCATCACAATAATCCACCCCATGAATTATTTGTCAAGACTCCACAATCACACACATTTATCATCCCCAAGTTCTTTAACAACATTTATAACTCTTGGGTGATACAAACCTGTTCAAATTGATACCAAATATCAGGAACGTTATCGGTTCTTTGATCTGGGTTCTCTCACTTCTCAAGTTCATCAATGAGTTTACAGATTCAAATCAACCAATTTGTCTCTTGGGGAGTTCCTTGATTTAAGAAGATTTCCCACTGAATACGTCTTTCATTGGGCAGTCAAAACTGCCATTTTTATTTTATTTTAAATGATTTTGAATTTCAATACGAAAACCAGTAAACGAAGGTTTCTTTAACATATGTTTTGCTCACACATAATTTCAACCCCCGTGGTGCTCAGGTGTTAGGCTGTCATCGGATATGCAGTATAGAGTGCAGGAGATTTGGACTCGGCCACAACCTCCTTAGCTAAGCGGTGGGGTCACATGCAAGGCAATATGCCCACCACCCACTAAAATATTGAACCAGTCAGTATTTAGTAAACATGAATTTGATTTTTTTTTTCTTTTTGAAAATTAAAAACAAATGAATGAATTTGGTCCTTCAATGACACGTGGTATCACAAAACAGCTGGTGATACATTGGCATCTT